CCCGAAAGAAAGCCAAGAACAAGCAGCTGGGCCATGAGGAAGGTGAGGGTCACCGGGCCCCTGCCCACAATGGACGTGAGGAAACGGCTCAGGCTTAAGGGACTCGACCAAGGTCACAGCCAGAAAGCAGCCAAACCGGGATTTAAACCCAGGCTGGGCCAGGCTGAGCCCCCTCTCCCATCTCTCGCATCAGACTACGCCCTGGGCAAGGACTGTATCATGCACGGCTACATGTCTAAGATGGGCAACCCCTTCCTGACCCAGTGGCAGCGGCGGTACTTCTACCTGTTCCCCAACCGGCTTGAGTGGCGGGGTGAGGGCGAGGCCCCGGTAAGAACTTGGGACTGTGGCTGGGAACCGGGTGTCGGGAGGCTGGCTGGGCCTGGCCCTCACCTGCCCGCCTGTCCCGTCCTCGGCCCTGCAGCAGAGCCTGCTGACCATGGAGGAGATCCAGGCGGTGGAAGAGACGCAAATCAAGGAGCGCAAGTGCCTCCTGCTCAAGATCCGGGGAGGCAAACAGTTTGTCCTGCAGTGTGATGTGAGTGGGGGCCGGGGTGGGGTGGGTGTGCTGGGGCTGAGCCCCGGCTGACAGAGCCTGGTGTGCACAGAGTGACCCTGAGCTGGTGCAGTGGAAGAAGGAGCTGCGTGATGCCTACCGTGAGGCCCAGCAGCTGGTCCAGCGGGTGCCCAAGATGAAGAACAAGCCCCGTTCACCTGCAGTGGAGCTGAGCAAGGTGCCGCTGGTCCAGCGCGGCAGCGCCAATGGCCTCTGACCCACCTGCCCGCCTTTTATAAACCTCTAATTTATTTTGTCGAATTTTTATTATTTGTTTTCCCGCAAAGCGGAAAAAGTTTTATTTTGTAATTATTGTGATTTCCTGTGGCCCCAGCCTGGCCCAGCCCCCAGGGAGGGGCCTGCTTGCCTTGGCTCCTGCTGCCACCAACCCAGCCACTGTCCAGTGCCCTCTGTCCTGACCCAGGGCCGCCTGCTCCTAGTATTTTCCCATGGGGGTAGCAGCAGCCCCCAGCAGCCCTCCTGCCCTCCCCTGGGGGTCAGTGCCACACCAGGTTGTGCCACCTCAGGCTCTGAGCTGTGCTCTGTGCCCCTGGGCACTGCTGGGGGGCCCAGCATCTCCCACTCTAGGGGAGGGCCCAGCACAGGGATACTACTTGAATTTGCCCCTCCTGCAACAGAGGGACAGAGCCCTGCACTGTCCTGCCCTCTGGCCATTGGCGAGAAAAGAGGGCCCATTGTCTCCCTGGCCACCAAGGCCTCCCACAGTGACTTGGGCTCCTGTGCCCTTGTTCAGGGAAATCCCCTGTGTTGCTGGTTGCCTCCATTCCCACCTTCCCTGGACACTGTGGGGCTTGGCCTGGAGGGTGGCACGGACAGTGGGTGCTGCTGCCCTCCCTATACCACCCTTACCCCTCTACCCCAAGCACCCGGGCTCAGGGACCACAGAAAGGCAGCTGCGGATTGGGCCACACTGGCCTAGCCTGGCCTCAAGGTCCCCCCACTGCTGGACTGGGTGAGACCTCATCTGCCTGGGACCACATGGGGCCAGCAGGTGGGTGGGCAGCACAGTGCAAGGGGGCCAGCCCTCCCTGCCCAGGCCCATCAGTGTGCCCCCGGGCTGTCCTGTCCCACAGCCCATGTCCTGTCAGTGCCACCGCCCAGGGCGCCACCTCGCCCACCGCATGCCCCCTTGTGCCAGTCGCGCTGCCACGTGTGGTGTCGCGCCCTCTCCCCTGGGGCTGGGTCGGTGCGCCCTCCCCTTCCGTCTACTCCCTCCCCAGGGCGTTTCTTTGCCGATTTTTGAATGTGATTTTAAAGAGTGAAAAATGAGACTATGCGTTTTTATAAAAAATGGTGCCTGACTTCTCGGTCTTCTCAGACTCTTTGTGCCTACTGACCTCTTCATCCTCAGCTAGGCTGGGCCTGAGGGGAAGGTCTTGTGGCAGGTGTCCTCCCTGGCCATGGCAGCCATCTGAGGCCAGCTTGCCCAGGCCCTCTCCCAGGCAGGTGGGGGTTCCTCTTTCCCCACCCTGCCCATCCCCTCCCCACTTGGTGGCTGTACAGTGCCCATCCCCCCTTCTCTGTGGAGGAGAAGGAATCTTCTACCCTCTGCCTGGGTCAGTAGGAAAAGCTACCAACATCTCCATGTTTGGTGTCATGTTGGACAGACTGGGACATGCCAGGCACTGTGCTAAGCCCCCCTCCCCACGACAGTCACAACAGACACCTCTGCCCTCTACATCACACTGCATCCTCTGGACTCTTGACCCTCTCTGGCCTTGGTCTCCCTTGGGCCTCACCAGGCATCTGAGGCCCAAGGGATTCCCCAACATCAGGCCTCACCTCTACCCACAGGTTTCTGGTCAACATGCTTTTCCCCACGTCCTTGCCCTGCAGGGCCCATCGGTGACTACAGGTGTGTATTGCTGCCCACTCCAGGCAGAGCTCAGCTGGGTAGGCTGAGGCCAATCATGCCATGCAGTGCAGAGAAGGCTGCTGGGGCAGGAAGCTATAGGCTGGAGACTAGAGAGTCTTGGGGTAGTAGCCTTTGTGGTGGGTTTCCAGCGTTGGGATGGCAACATTTCTGATGCAGGGAAGGGCCAGGCAATTGTGAGTGGCTCAGGTTGGTGAGAGCACTGTAGGAAAGAGCCACACCTAAGAGGCCCTGAATGCTAGGCTTAACCTGGCACAGACCCCGGTGTGTGCCTGGCAGCTGCCAGCTGAAGATGAGTGGACATGGAGCCTGAACTTCACCCAGGGTGAAGGTGGGGTGATGAGTGCTGGTTCCTGTGTGCAGGGTGTATGGAGGGAAGCAAAGAACAGGAGGTGAGGAGGCATCCTAAAGGCGGTAATGCTGGTGGAAGAGATGAAGAGGCAGGCCAGTTGAAAGAACTTGGCCCAGCAGGGACCTGGAATGAGTGATGTGGGAGTCCAAGATGGAACATGGAGAGGTCTTTGGTACCACCCACAGAGCCAGGACAGCCCTGAGCCTGGGGGTAGGACAAGTGGCTGAATTTGGCTTCAGACCCAGCACCAAACTGACAGCATGAAGCACATGGGCACAGAGCTACCCTGGAGGAAGCTGAGGGGCAGGCCTGGAGTAGGCTTCAGGGTGACAGCAGAAATAGGCTCTCTCAGCCAGTGAGGGTCCCTGGGAAAGGGTTAGAAGGCACTGTCGTGGAATTGAGGGCTGGCGGAGAGTCACATTCAAGATTGCAGAAATTGGCTCGGTGCCCGTGGCTCAAGTGGCTAAGGCGCCAGCTACCTACACCTAAGGTGGCGGGTTCAAATCTAGCCTGGGCCCGCGAAACGACGACAGCTGCAACCAAAAAATAGCCTGGCATCGTGGCGGGCGCCTGTGGTCCCAGCTACTTGGGAGGCTGAGGCAGGAGACTCGCTTGAGCCCAGGAGTTGGAGGTTGCTGTGAGCTGTGATGCCATGGCACTTTACCCAGGGGGAGAGCTTGAGGCTCTGTCTCAAAAAAAAAAAAAAGATTGCAGAAATCAGGAGAGGCTGGGCCTAAGAATGTCCTGTCAGATTTAGGCCTGAAGAGGGCTTGGGGAAGGGACAGCCTGTTTGAGAAAGGTGGAGGTCAGAGAGGGGTGCACAACAGTGGCCAGCAGAGCCGATCTTAGAGCTCTGGACATAAGTCTTCTTGGCTGTCGTCAACCTCAGTACATCACAGACGACAAGATGACACCACAGAGTGGAGTTTCAGTGGTCCCAGATGGCACAGGAGCCCCCTGACTACACTGAGAAGGTGGAGTAAAAATGGCAACCAAGCCTCCTGGCCCAGTGACTCCCTTGAGCAGGAGGTGCCCTAAAGCTATATGGCCCTTCTGGATCTAAATGCCAAGTCATTTAACAAGTAGGCAAACAGGCCAGAGGGTCAGCTGTGGAATCAGACCCCAGGCTAGGCCTCCAGTAACCAAAGGCCGGAACCAAGCTGACTGAGGCCCGCACCCTAGTTCCGGTGTGGGTGGCAGGCTGGTCTTGATTGCGAAACTCCTTCCTCTCCTGACACTGGCAGCAAAGTGCAGCCTCTGCAAAATGGACCCATGCTGTGGGCAAAGACAGCCACTCCCCTCAGACGATTCTCCACCTGGAGAGCCCTGCTGCCCTGGCCTGTGCCCCTGGCTCCTCAGTGATCCCACCCCTGATTCCAGTGCCCTGGGCGACCGCCTGTCCGCCCAGACACCCGCCCGGGTCCCCACAGAAGGCGCTTCGTGCTCAGCCTGAGAGCATTAGTGGCACCTGCCGGGTGTTCATCTCCAGGCCAGGCGCTTGGAGCTCCGCTCGAGGGTGACAGAAGGGAAGCCAGCACCTCGTACCCTTCCGGCACTCACAGGCACAGCCTGTGCTCACAGGACCGGGGACTGGCATGGAGATGCGCGCAAGAGTCTGCCAGGGAAATGCGGTGAACCTAACGGCGCGCGACCGCGGCCCGCCGCGCACGCACGCGCACTCGCGCGCTCGCGGTTCCGGGGCCTAGTCCCCACCCCTCGCTGAGCCGCCCCGCCCCTGGGTCCTCCCTCCCCTTCCGGACCCGCAAGCAGGGGTCTGCGCTGGGCCTGGGGCTCCCCCTGCAGGCTGCGGTGGAGCAGAGGCCAGGCCCCGCCCTTCGGACTGCCCCCGCAAAACCTTGCCCGGCTAAGCCCCGGACGGAGACCTGGGTCTGGCTTCTCTCCGGGAGCGCGTGGCGGCCCCAGCGGCTGGGCAGCGTGCCCCAGCTGCCCTCGGCGTGCACAGGCCGGGCTGCGGTTGCCATGGCTGCGGGAGGCGAGGGGGCGCGCGGCCCG